TGTCCTGTTTTTCTGTGTAATTTTCTTTTAAAATCTCTCTCTTACTGTTGGTTGGTTTATTGGTTTTATCCTTAACACTTAAATTTAATGCCTTAATTGTATAAACAAAATTATGTAGTTTTCATTTTAAATGTTCATCTGTGTCACAATTCAGCCTTTTGGCTGCAATGAACAGATTTTAATAAACCAGTAATAATAATAATTGTTTTCGACATGCCTCTATTTCAATACGAAAAGTTTCAAAACTCTTTTAAATATCAAACCAAAATACTCGCCAGGGACAAAGTTAAGATTACAATTAGGACCAGTAGAAATACTTATTCTGTGAACATCAATAGTGCGTCCAGCCACATATGACGAGCCGATGACTCTATTTCAGTTAGAATCATACAAATTAGCATGAGTTAAGGTTTTGTTTTCTTTTTATTGATATACATGCAAACATTTTTCGCTGCTAATCAATGTATTAATATAAAAATAGCTGAAATGTTCTTAAACAAAACACTTTCCTTTCCACGTTTTTCCAAATCAAGATTGCTAGGGCGGTTTTGATAGCAAATTCAATGGTTGATATCTGGAATGATCACACCAAACTCTGACTTCAGACATTCCTATGGTTTATAAAGGTAAGCCTGTAAGTGGTCTTTCTTAATGAATTGTGTTTGGGAGAGGGACTGTGGTGATGTCTACCAAATGATAAAACAAAGGGTCATGTGCTGTGTTACCTAATTGCCAATATAAATAAAACAGTTCAAATCTAAAAAAACAAATCTGAATCCAAATCTGCTTAGTCCTTTTCCGGGTGAAAAAGTACAAATGTCCTAGTCACAATAACCGAGAAAAGTGTAATTTTTTCCTCTCCAAAGGGGGCATTTATGACCCCTAAAAGGGGTCAATTTTTGACGTGAAAAAGGACCGATCAGCAGATTTGGATTCAGATTGCGGGTCAGTCCGACCCAGGAGATTATAGAGTATGGCTTTGACAAGCTATAGTGCTGTAGTTTTGAAATTGGAAGTTAGGCAAGGCCTCAAACCACAAGATGTGGGTTTTTAGCATATGTCATGTGTACATGACAAACATTAAATAGAGTGTAAATAATAAAAAAATAATGCAGCAGATTTGCTGGAGAACTTCTGACATAATGTTTGTAATAAACTGAACCCCACATAAGTGTATTCCAAAAGTAAACCCAGTGTTGCTGGAACAAAACTCGTTAAAAAGTTTTTGAGAGATGTAGTCCCGAACCGATAAAACAAAAGAGACAGTTCATTGTTCATTTTAAAGCTAAAGATATTGTACCCGGCGTTAGCGTAGTTATGTAGTTATCACAATTTAATAATAAAGACCAAAACCATAGACTCATGAATATTCAAAAATATAATAAGCTTGCTTGACAGACTTCGACACCAGATCGTGCGCAGAGCCCTGCAAATCTGAAAGCCGCCGCATGCAGGGGTCTTTGTTGACAAGTTTCCATGGTATTTGCCACCAGTACCGGCCATTATCACTTCACTAATCTAACTAAGAGTTTGGCCTAGTCGTTAATCCTTGCGTGTAGGATCTGTGGGCGATTCTTGTTTACTCGATGAAGCGCATTTTTTCAGTTGTAATTGCACACATGTTTACCCTCTACATTTGTATATGCAGGAGTGGCCTGCCGTGACCTGTGCGGCTGCGCCATCCTTCACTAAATATGTTAAAGCTACAGTCCATAATTTACAGCTATCCAAAAAGTAACTGACGTATTTTATTATTGTTGAAAACATACTTGGTTGAAAGATAGTATAGGGACTAAACTCCTTTTGAAATCATTCTATCTGGTATGCTGTCATTTTGAAGAAATCAACGAAAGAAGGCTTTTTCAATATGGTACATCTAGATACATACCACACCGTGATCCTGGAATGGTGTTTTTTCTTGAAATATACAGCTAAAGGCTGAGCTGAACCTTCATCAGGTTAGTTGTTCAGCACCCTTATTTAGAATATGAGCACGTATGTTGCCTCAAACGCGCAAAATGCACATATGTGACCCGCTCTGCAAAAATGAGTCTGATGTCGCATAATTTGAATTCAAGCTTTAGCCATTTTGAAATGGAAACAGTAAAAATTTGCTCAAAATTTGGATTTTTTTGTTTTTGTTTTATGTTGGTTGTTTGATAGTTTTAGTTCAAATATCTTACACAGAAATGTAAATATTGTAAGAAAAAGAAAAAAATTATGAATCTTTGGTGCTTTTCTTGGTTAGTTACAGTGTATTTGTCATTTTTCAAAGCCTTTTTTCTCCATTGAGACACTTCTAGCTTTGCAAAAACTTTACAGAATGAAACAAGCACAACAATGCAACCAAATGTCCTAGAGAGGTCCGTGATATACCAATTGAAAGCTTATTTCATTCCCACACACTCATTTTTGCGGAGCGGGTCACATATTACAAATGATGGACCGTTCCTTTAAACGGGCTAACCCACCAGCGGTGGGGACGAGCGAAGGGAGTAGGCCTAGACACTATTGGAGGCGCTGTTCACAGCCAGTTGGTTTTATCCAATGTTGGGACCACTCCATAAATAAACAGCTAGGACGGTACCAACATTACCTTGGGCCGTTTTCCAAACACCCGGCGCCGGCTCGGTCTCAATCATGCAGTTTGACGATGAGGCTTGAGCCGAAGCCGAAGCTGGGGTTTGCAAAATGGCCGCAGTTAGGGCTGAACAACAAACCCTCGCTTCGCGTTCGGAGCCCGTAAGGTTAATTTCAGAAGTTAAAGAAATTGAAGTAGCTGCATGTTCTATTCATATATGATGTATGTTATGAGATGGCAATCTCCTCTCTCAGCCTGTAGTATTCAATCTTCATGGCCCTTTCACTGTTACGACATTCAAATTTATCAGCAAAGTCTTTAACGAACTTCACCACTTCTGAGTTGGGTATCTTGAGGATGCGTATGGCAGACGATATCGAACTTACAATATCTTCTGGAAGCTCGACGATGCTGAACAGAGAAATTTGGGTTCTGCCTTTTCGTTGTGACCGTGGATTTCAGGATCAATAAGCCCGGTGTCTCTCTGCATCGCAACTGCAGGTGCTCTTCTTTGACCACAGTTTCCAATGTATAAACTGTCTCCAAGACATTTTTCAGATGTAAGGTAGCCATAACGTCTTGTAACACCACGGGTTTTGGATCAGTAAAAGGCTTCCCGGCAATGTAATAACGCGTAAGAGCTACCATAGCAAGTAGACACATAGACTTGGTAACACTTTCAAAAAACGCAACAACGAGAATGCACCCGCAAAATAGTCCTGCGACAACCCCCTGAAATGGTTGGGAAAATTAAAAAGACACCGTTACCAACTTTGAACTGCATAAGCCACTATATTAAGAAAACTAAAAACGTTAGCAAAAAGACGCAACTTGAACTGTTACTACAGTTTCGCCTCCCTCACATCTAGCACAAAACAGGATGTGTATCAATTATACGCCTTTTTTCAAGCCCACTTAATTTCACAATCTTGCCAGACATCCCGCTATATCTTTAAAACGGAAGACCGCACGAAATTGGGAGTCTGTTAAATGGAAACGTAGCCCCATTATGGTCTTATTATAAAAAGACAAGGAGGCCGTTATACATTGACAAACATTGGTCTGCTTATCTTTACGTTTCTGCTTACATTCGTATGTGCAGTTGAATTCCGGCAGCCAATAATGTCTCAATATCAATTATATCAATATTACCGGAACAATGAAATGAGAAACATACCGGTGCTGGCCGACGACTTGAATATCTTAGACCCGTCCTTTCCATAATAACAGGAGTGATCATTACACCAATGCACAAAGAAACCTTTACCGAATCCTGTGAGAAATAAAGCGTACCAAAATAAAAAAACGGTGCTGATAGTTACCTACCAGTTAAATATTGGAAGACGATTCAATGGGACATATATTTTTTTAGCTGATGCTGTAAAAACATATTTTAGCCTTTCTGGGATATGACGATCATGGATGGCGTCATACTGTGTTGGGCGAATTCTAGCTACCAATGAATCATCCTCGTTCTAATATTCTATTTTCAAACTCGTGATGCAACCATCGGATGGAACTTGCTTCCTGTATTCGGATTTGATCCACTAATAAGCCTCTGCAATAAACCTCTGTCACCCCCCCCCCCCAGCCCGGACAGGGTTCCAAAGAAAAGCGCCCACTGAACAAAGTGCGACGTTGTCAGTCATACACTTATCAAGAAATTGATTTGTATCGTGATTTTATTTCTACGCAGCCCAAATCACAATTTACACACCCTTTATGATACTGAGCATTTTGTTGGATAAACTTGAGAGTTTTAGTGCATAGGCCGGAAGCCGTGAACAGGTCTGCAAGCTTGTAATTAATGTGTATGTGGATGAACTTGGGCCCTTAAATAATGCGCTCCTTTGCAATGGAGCGCAGCCATCATCTATACTACAATTCAAGGAATCTCTGTCTGTCTGTCTGTCTGTCCGTCTGTCTGTCTGTCCGCCGATTATCTCCAGAACTGGGCACCGTATGGAGTTGAAAATCGCGGGTGCATTGTTCGGGACAACAGAATGTGCAGTGCCGAGTTTGAAGTAGTTTGGACGAGGGGTTCTCGAAAAAGCTGCAAAAACAACAGTATTTTCTGAGACCTAGCGCGCCAGAATATAGCCTAGAACTCCGCGCACTGATGTTCTTTTCAATTGTTTACGTCATGTTTGAGCTAAAGCGCGCGTGCTCAATATGACGCAACGAATGGAAAAAGGACGGGCACGCGCACGTGTATTGTAGGGCGATACCATTGTCCAGTATGGGTGAATAGCATGCGTACCATATGTTTCCTGACTGCACGGGCACATGCATTCTGCAGTCGATTGAACCACTATTGTAGGCGGTGGATTGAGCAACCTTACTCACGTAGGTGTGTAGCTACACGGCCGTATTTGTGAATATCCATGCCGGGATGGCCTGGGGACATGTACAAGTGCGCTCAACCTATGAGTGTGAGTTTAACCTGTGAAAACAACACAATTGAATCGTGTGCGTTGTTTGCATGACATGAGCATTTAGAAATTGCCCCTAACGCACAGGTGCATTTTTTTGACGGGCCCTGCAAAAATGACGGGCACATTGTAGGGCGATAGCACTGCACACCATGTCTTCGTACGTACATATACGTGAGTGGCATGCACGCGTGCACATGCATTTTGTACTCAACTGAGCAACCATCACTGCACTGTATGTGCCGGGGGGGGGGGGACGGACGAAATTTTGTGAGTTTAACTTGCGAGTGTGCGTTCACACCATTGAATAATGTGCGTTGTTTGCACGAGCTGCAGTTCTCAACTGCCCCTTCCGAACACGCACATTTTCGACTGGCCCTGCACTAGTCTTACTATAATTCCAGGAATCTCTGTCTGTCTGTCTGTCCGTCGATTATCTCCAAACCGGCACCGTATGAAGTTGTAAATCGGCGGGTATATTTTTCGGGACAACAGAATGTGCAGTGCAAAGTTTGAAGTTGTTGGACCAGCGGTTCTCGAAAAAGCTGAAAAAAGCAGTATTTTCTGAGGCAAACGTGGCAGTATATAGCTTAGAACATAACACCCGCACGCACTGCCGTTCTTTTCAATTGTTTACGTCATGTTTAAGCTAAAGCGCGCGTGCTCAATATGACGCTAACAATGCAAAAAGGACGGACACGCGCACGTGCATTGCAGGGCGATACATTGTCCAGTATGGGTGAATACTACTGGATCAATGGGTGAATAGCACTGCATACCATGTTTTCGTATGTACACGGGCACATTATTTTTGCAGTTGACTGAGCGACCATTGTAGGTGGTCGAACTTCAAACTTGGCAAAAGTTTTGACGTAAGTGTGCGTTCAATCTGTGAAAACAACACCATTGAATCGCGTGCGTTGTTTGCACGAGCAGTTCTCCAAAACTCTGCAAGTATGCAACCTATACCAGCGGCAAAGCAATTTGCGTTTCCCGAACATGCACATTTTTAGACGGGCACTGCACTAGTATTTCAAAAAGCCAATGGACTTCAGGACCACTTTTAGGGCCCGGATCATCTTTGTTTGGAATTTGTTTTCCAAAATCATTGCGTAACCCCCCAAACAAATTGAAGAGAAAATGAAACGCGATAACATAAAATTTAATTTGATGTTTGTTCCAAACACCTTGGAGAATTGTGAGTATTTTTATACTGAGTTTATGAAATGGGTGTATTATCAATGGGGTCTATATGCAAGTTTACTAAAGTCTTCAGCCTCGTGTATATGCTCAAACTAATAGCGCCCTTTTGTGGCTGTATATCTGAAGCAACTATAAATTCTGACCAGTCATTGTGATCTTACCATAACTGACAAAGACAATGCCCAGAAGCCTCCCGACGCCATTGTGACAACACAAAGCACAGTAGAACGTAAATAAAAGTGTGACAAACGCAAATCGAACATGCACAACGTCACTATCTGGGATACAACGCCGAAAATCACGGAGACAGCTACGACGGACGTTTCCTCGTGGTAAGATTCATCGCTTTGGTACAGCCATGACAACACCTCAATCAGGAAAAAAATAACCCACAAAACAGGAACGAGTGCTCTTATCACCTACAAATGCAAAAAAATATATATAAAAATAAGAATAAGAAAACAAAAGAGAAGCGCACAACTTGTACACAAATGGTCACTAATTAAAATCTTTCTATACTTGTAACTAATACACTCTCCAAACTATCAAAAACCTAACCCCTTCCTCTCTCGATAGGTTTTGTTCAGGCTGGTCACCAACTACCAGAAATCCCTATGGATTTCACAGTGTAACCGTCAAAGCCTGTCTAAGTGGTTTGATAGATAGGTTGCTAATTAATACCGGTACAGGTTTTGTAGCAGCCATTTTAATCTGTGAATTTTACCAATATGATGCCAATTTACAGACATATATTTAACATTCTAACCTGATACATTTTGACCCATAGGGTCACTCACTACAGATTGTCACTGAAAGAGGGAGGGTTATGCTCATCAAATAGAGCACAGTCCTTAAACGTTGTTTTAACAGAATAGTTATTCTCAATCTTTGTACTGTCATTTTCGAGGGTGTTTGGATGCCGTTTTGGTTGTATGCTGATGGGAATGTTCTCATTCAATGCAGAAACTATAGGGTAGCCGCTGCTTCAGCACTAAAGGTAGCCAGAAGTGGTTTGTTTTATTGGCTGTGGTAATTTTCTCTCTCCCTTAAGTTTTTAGTGATTAATTGTTGCTCGAATATATGTCAATTAGACATGTTGTGCACAAATTTTTTAATGAACACGTTTTGAGTTCACTGCCCATCAGAACAGTGTGTGCCTTAAATGACATCACGGTAACAGCTCCCTCTTCAGTTGTCTGAAAAAGCACGGAACCGTTTAGTGTCCAAGAAGTGCACTTATCACATCATCTGAGATTGCAAAATTGCGAAACAAAGGTATCAAACGTATATCATGGTTCCCAATTAAATAATTGAGAATGGACAAAAGTAGTCGCTTTCAAATGATACCGTTATTTCATAGAAGGTAGCAATTTAAATGAAATTAAGCTGTAACTTGAAGAGTTTTTAGATACTTACCTTTGTCAGTTTTGCCCATGGATTTGCATAGTCTTGTGCCCAGGCAAGGAGAACTTTTAATGTTTTCTCCCGATGTCGAACGTATTTGGCTATTGCATTCTGCACTAAATCCAAACTGAGTCTCGAGTCAGGTTGGCTATGCATTTGAGCTGTGAAAAAGAATGCAGAAATTCAAAATAAGTGAAAATGACAGCAAAAAATTGTACCGAATACAGCAGTCGAGCTGGATTTCATGGGACCATTCAACGTAATTTGTTACACCTATGCTTGAAAAAGCACTGTTGTGTCCCATTTATTATCATTTTCTATTTTCTTTTTTTTGCCATTCTGAAGGCTATTTTGCTGCATTTTGTTTTATGCTAATGCCAGTTTCCATATTTAAGAGCAAAACTTTGATGGCATTCCGAACAGAAACCTCAATGTTACAGCTATTTCAGCAACAAAAACAAGTGCCAACAGTTTAGAGATTTTGCTGTCAGAAATTTTCTCTTCTTTGTTAGTGCATTGTTACACGTACATGGCAGTATTAAGCCAATGAGCAAACTTTTCTCACCAAAAAATAATGTTTTCAATGAGCAAATGTTTGGTTCACAACTTGGAACAGAAAATCACTAAACTAAACACTGTCTTCCTAAAATGACATCAAAGCAACAGCGCCCTCAGTTGTCTTGTATGTAAAAAAGAAGTGCACTATTCAATAAAATTATCACAAAAGGGGTGTCAAATCGTGTTTTATACATTTTAAGAGCAATAAAAAGTTGATGTGTTCCTCAGAAAAATTCGTCGCATGAACCTTTTAAAAAATGGAATAAAAACAAGTTTACCAAATTCCAAAAAGCAGATCCCTTGTAGCACTTTCAACAAAAGGGCGTTCATTACTAAAACATTTACCTTGTTGTTTCCTTCTTCCTGACCCTTCAAAGAATTCACAGCCTCTGGTGTAATCATCTGCCGACATCTCCACCTTTTCGATGGGCAAGTCCGCCTTCAGACGTTGCTGGAGCTCCCCGCTTGAGTACTTGGCCCAGAATCTCTGGAGGCCATCTTTACTTTTGAAACGAAAGGTGACTTTGACGCAACCCTTCTCGACGCCAACAGTCGCCGCATCACACTCTCTGCAGATGTCTTCCAGTGACGTCATTCCCGGCTCCTTGGCTTCCACCAGGCCTCGAATTGTTTCCAGCAAATTTCGTGTTTGATCATCGTCTCTTGTCCCTTCTTTTGTTCCGTAAAGTTTAGCTGACATGTCTATACAACAATTGAAACATTGGTCAAAGGTAGAATTATCCCAAGTCGGTAAGTTGTGTTGGCATAATGAGACAAGCTTGACCCGAAAGTTCCAGTTTAAGTCAGAATGTCATACATTTATACCACTGTCCCAGTGACTCTGAGAGGCGGTCAGTCAATGACTCAGCAAATAACTCAGTCAGTCCGTCAAAGGACAATACACTGGCCCCGCGGATCCAGCAAAATATAAAAACATACATGTACATGTAATTTTAACCGCCAGTATGGACGATTCCTAATACAGTGGGCCACCAAGAGGTTGCGACGGAGAGTCATTTTCTGTTTAAGCAGTGCATTGTGGGAGGCCGTGGCAAATTCGCCATGGCGCGGGGCACTTAAATCGTACTTGTTGTCCTGCCAGTAATTTTGTAAGCGTTATGATTTGATTATCTGTTATTTGTGTTGCCTTTTATCAAGATGGTGTTTTTGTAAGACGGCGAAATTCTTTCACGGTGCCCCAATCTATCAAAAGATGTCTTAAAGTTTTTGGCTGACATCACTGAAATCGTGGCAAGTCGGCCATGTTTTTGTCGACCGAAAACCTAAACAAATGGACTATCCCCGACAACCTCTTGTCTGCGCGCTGTATTTGGAATCACCCGTTTCAAAAGCACAACTGATCAATGTGTTTTTGTTTTATTATTATTTTTTTTATTTTATATCAAATCACTCTCAAAACTCTCCTTCCACACAGCCAGCTATTCTCACCGTAGTTAAATGCGTTTCCTGTACTGTCACCGAAAGTCAAAGGGCTTTGGGTTAAGTAGAAGTTGTTGCACTTGTAGTGAATGATTGTTTCAGTATCTCCTGGCTCTTGTATCTCGGTCGACGTATCTCTCTCTGGACTCCTCAATCTGGATCGTTTCGAACTCCTCTTTCGCGCCCTACTCCTTGGTTCGGCCTGATGTTGGTTTGTGATGGCTTCTCTGCACTCGTTCCCTGCATTTTCAATTCAAAAGTATGAAAAACATGACTTGAAAATAGATTTGCCAATATCAAAATTTCGTTGCGTATCAGCGTTATTTCATCTTAAGGTATGTATAGGCCTAAAGGAGTATAAATGGGTACTGGCATTAGCTGGAGAGTAACCTGCGATGGACTGGCATCCCATCCAGGGAAAATAGAAATATGTTCAGTCGTTCCATGCTACTGAACCTGGGGATAAACGCCGGCCCGATGGGCCACGTACACTGGCTCGGGACAGACTTTACTTTACTTTACTATGTGGCTACTGGTAAAGAGTGGGCGCTGAAGAGACGAATGTCAGGGAAAAAAGCTTATGAGACACAATTTCTTGGTAGAGAGAAACATGTACCATTGTACCTGACTGTTTTGGGGAACCAGATGAACTGGAACTCCTTTGGTCTTGTCCGGCAGGGGCATCGTGCTTTGTTTTCTTGTTGCAAGGCACCTGTAAATGAAAACATATTGAATGAAGAGTGAAATGGAAAGTCACTTTCTGCAATTCCATTTTAATAAATTGTTTGCCTTCAAGCCATCTTGGAGGTATAGAGAGTGGGTTTTTTTTCAAGAGGGTTACAGGCAGACATAGTTATTGTGCATTGTAACAAAAACATACACCAAAGATAGCTGACGAAAGTAATCAATCAATTTAGTCTTGCTCACTGGGTTGCAAACAGGCAAAACACACACCATATTTCGTATTTGTTTAAAGCTACAGCATCTCGTGACGAACACATTCCACTAAATTGGTAAATTATGTGATTCAACATGTCCCCAGGGCTTACTATCCTTTCAACAGAACAGGTAGTGGTGTGAGCGTAATGCTCGACACCATGGAAGCGAGTTAGAGTGTACTCTGACCTGAAGTTCAGTGTTGGTCGACTCAGAATGCACTTCTTGCTTATTTATACGCCCGGAGGAATCTGAATTACCATCCGGTCATGGCACTATTGACTTACCCCGGCTGAGCTTGCAAGTTGTACACTGTGCTCGGCTTCCTGAGCGTAGTCTTTTCTCAAGTCGTCAGGATAGGCACGCTTTCTACACGACTCACCTGTTCCCTGTTCACTTTCCCCTGTGTATGTGAATTATCGTCTTTGGTGATTACATGAGCGAAAAACTATAAATATACCGGTTATAACTCCGATCGTTATAGGTACATAGGATCATTTCCTTTTGTACAATTGTTTTGAAGCAACACAATTGCTCATAATCCTGTAGAAGAGAAGGCCTACACACCATCTAAATGTGTTGAAATTTCTGAATAAAAGTAGGTAAAACCAATGCACTTTCAGTCTTGCCAAGAACACCAAAATTTCTCGTGAATACATAATGAGGCAAGATAACAGTAGTCCCTGTCTTCTGAATGCCAGGTGGGACTAATCACCAAGGAGGTATTCAACATTCCTAACAGTAAACTTCCACAGGTCCAAACAGATAAGAATAACTAAATGGAAACAGTTGGCTAAATACACAAATAAAAGGAAATGCAGGTCTACAGTAAACGAAC